GATCAAGGACCCTGCAGTGAGGGAGGGAGTGGAGCAGAGGCAGGGGCAGGGGCTAGGGTGAATGGGGCCCTGGGGCAGTTGCAGGTTGTGGGACACTTGGAGCCCAGGCAGCTCATCCAGGAGCAGGGGGTGGAGGAGGTTTCCTGCTGCTGCTTGCATCCCAGAGGAGGCTTAGGGACATGTGCCCCACCGATCTGTGTGTGGGGTGGAGGCAGGCTGTGCTTTGTGCCCTGCCTAGGAGTGATGCGACACCGTGTGCCTGCTGTACATGGGGTGCGGAGCCCAGTGGCAGGGATGCACATGGTGTCACTCAGCTGTCAAGGCAGTGGCAGCAGGGCACAGAGCCCATCCCATAGCGGCAGCCACCTACGCCCTGCGCACAGATTGGGGGGCACATGCCCTCCCTTGCCTCCCCCACAATGCACAGTGGCAGGAGCCCCCCTGTGCCCCTGGATAAGCTGCCCGGGCTCCAAGCATCCCATGACCTGGCCTGGGGCCCCATTCACACGAGCCCCTGCCTGCCCCTGCCTCTGCCCCACTCCTTTCTGCACTGTGAGGGGCCTTGATCTCGGCTTGATCTGGCCCCCCTAAGACCCTTCCCCTTCACAGAGTACACTTAAACTTGCCTGGCTCCTATGCTGAGTAGTAATCTACACTCGGGGCTGCGATTTTGGCTGTGCGACTGCGTGTGTGTAACCCGCCACCCTGCAGCAGCCCAGAGCCTGCAGCCGGGCTGTCCTTCATTTGGGGGGAGCTAAGCTCAGTTAGCCCCAGCTTTCTACCGCCTGTGTCAGTGGGTGCGTCTACACGAGTGCCAGACTGCGCAGTCGTTACAGTCCTGGTGCAGCACAGGTCATTTCCAACCCTGCTGCGCAGTTGCAACAGGCTATTGCACAGTACTGGCAGAGTCACGGTTCATGTCTGCCAACGCTACGTTGCCAGAGCGATGAGCTGCGTTGCTCGTGTCACTAAGGCAACAGCATCTTGTGTAGACATGCCAACAGAGTAAAAACATGCACTGCCTCTGATTTACCCTGGAACAGCAAAGTTCTGTCCCCTTTGATCTCTCAGTAAACTGTTTCTATGCTTTGTATTTTCTGTGAAGTTCTCAATCCTCCTTCACCTCTACTCGGTTAATAGTCCTTTTTCCATGATGTGCTATGGTGTAGAGAAGTAAAGGAGAACTTTTTCCAATTCTTTTTTAGAAATATTGGCTTTGAATGTCTAAACAAGGGTTAGTTCTGTCTTCATCACGTGCTGCATGTGCTGTCTTGGTCCACAGATCAGTTTGTTACACTTTGGAGCACCTCGCTAGGAAGCTGCCATAATTTCTCTCTCTCTCCTTCTATTGGGAAAGGACACAACATGTCCTTCTCCTTCTGCAGTAGACCTTGCTGTAGTCTGCAGTCACACAATGCCTGCTGGTAATGCAGTGACCAGAACATCCTTCAGAGAGCAAAATTGGACACAGGTTAGCTTTTAAAGGCCTGTGATAGCCTGACTAAACTGTAATAGACTGAAATAGTAGCATATCCCTCTGAGGCTTTGATGCTAACATAATTATCCAAATCTGAATTTGCATCAGGTCTAATGTCACTATCCTTGTAAAGTAGCTTTTAAGTTAAGCCATTCAAAGAATGAAAACATTTATTTGTGGCTTTCAAATAAAAAAAACTTAAGGGTCAGACTTTCATGGCTCAACGATTAAGCCAGTAAGATTAATACTCAGGTTATGAGTTAGGTGGTATATCTTTAACTGAACTTCAGAGACCTTGCTTAATAAAAGCGACCACACTTTTAACAAATGCATTGGCCTTAATATGAAATAATAAAGATTACTAAAAGAAATTCAGTGTATAATTCCTAATTCACCATCAGCAGATCCTGGTTTTTGGAATACTCAATCAGTGTTTAACAAAAATCTTCATTCTGTCTCCTTGGAGTGATCACTGCTACATAGCTTTAACCAGGATGATGCAACCTCCAGTTTTTGTTGTTCTCTATATACTGCCGTTAACTACTGTATTTTCTCACCTACAGCATGCCCTCCCAGATTGTAATATGCATCTTGTTTTTGAAAGGTACAATGAAGAAAAAAACACCTTTCCTTGTAGTAAGTAACTGAGTAGCAGTAGGTGTGCAGCTGAATCTGCTCTTTGTTCTATTCCCTGTGGATCACTTCAGGTTTTACTTTTGTAGTCACCCAGAAGAGGACCATATTTCTACTACAATTTCCAGAAGCTGGTTTTGGGTAAAAGGTGCATGTTGTAGGTGAGAAAATTTAGTACTCACATTCTAAATGAAGGTGGAGGACAGCTTTTCAGACTGCTGAAAGCTGAATTTTTAAAAATATGGAAATATTGAATAGTTTTGAGATTTCATTTTTCCCCTCTCAGTTTCTCATTTCCCTCTCTCATTTCCTTTTTTTTCCCACTGATCACAGTGCTTTTCATGCAAGCGTTTTGCCCACGTATGTCTTGTTGGTGCAGAAGGGGTTCTCAGCATGCAAAAATGAGAGAGGATTTGATTAAGACATGGTGTATATATCTCCTCTGGATTTTAGAATATAGCTATACAGATCCTTCAGTGATGCCTGTCCCAAGCAGGCTCAGGGAGGTGGGGGATTAATGGGGAAAAGCAGACAGTGGAACTACTTCTGCGTCATTCAGCCATCCAAACATGGCACATGGATACAATAAAGCCACTGTTTCTACCACCACCATGATATCAGCATAGCTGGTTGGGCACCACTTCACAGTTAATTATTAGAGAGAATTCCATCTAAATCCCACAAACCACCTAATGCAGAGCCTGCTTGCTTCATTTATGTACTTGGATCCATAATTCTCTGTTAATTTGGTATAACAGCTAACTTAAATTTGTTTTAATTCTGCAGCCAAATTCCAATTAAGCTGATGAGGGATTGGAAAGAATTTTTTTTTAATGGAAAACCACTCTATGAGCAAGCTTTGATTGAACCTCTGCCAACTGAACCAACCGCAGAGCAACTTGTAGAGCTGGATAAAATGAAGTTGCTAGATGAGAAGGATTATGATGAATATAAGGTACACCTAAATGGCAAGCCATAAAGGAAGAAAATGCACCTTGTTTTTTTCATAACAGCCAACATTTTGCTGTGATGTTATAATACATTTTGTTCTTTTTCAGTTTGAGACAGTGGAACTTAATATACATGTCCATTATTCCAAAATTAAACGTGTTTTACATTAACCCCATATTGTTATGAAGTTGTGTGTCACTGACTTTTGAAAGCCTATGCAACCCTGAAAAAATTAGTCCTGTGGTGTTTGACCTGAAGGACAACAACACATACTTACTGCATATGATGCCCATGGTGTTGCTCCCAACAGATCAATTAATTGCAACATTATAATTTGTATTTAAAGAGAAATAGAAACATGGCTAACACCACTTCATGGCAGATCATGTAACAGAATATAGTTAGAAACACAGAGCAAAATAAATGCAGTGCTTGTTAAAAAATCTGGTATATTTTGGATAAATAAATGTTTTACATTTATTTCTGAATATAAAGGAATTTAATGGTATTTGGTGATCCATTTATTTAAATAAAAAGTAATTCTGAAAGATGGCTGATATTGTTAATATTCTGTAAGAATCCAAATAAGATTTTTTCAGGATTCCATATCTCTTTTCTGTATTTTTAGAGTACAGGTTGTAGTAATACAATTAATGTTTGAAAATGAAATGTTGAAATGCTTCAATTGAAAAGTACTACTAAAATATTTTCTAGATTTCAGTATTCTCAATTCTCTTCCTTAGAAAAGATACCTTTTATGTCTCAAGGGGCAAGGATTTCTGAGGGGGATATCTTTTATTGGACCAAAAGTTAGATAAACTTGTGAATGCAAGACCTGTTTCCTCAGGTCACTATGCCTGGCTTCCTGTGATCAGAGACCTGAGAGAGAATGTCCTGCATTCAGAAGCTTGTCTAACTTTATCCCAACTACATAGTTGGTCCAATAAAAGATATCAGCTTAAGAAATTCTTGCCTTTCGCACAATTTTTGGACCATCACAGCTACAACCTCACTGTTATACTACTTTGTTTTTAATTTTTTCTCTTTAGTATAATATGGGGCAATCATTGTAAATAACCTGTCTTTCTATTTTTCTTGTTTGGGAAATGATTACCACACTATGTGTTCTTTTTACCCACATCCTGAACCATTTAGTACATTTTCTTTTACAGAGAATAGTAAACTTGTGTTAGGAGTTTGTGGTGAATGTCTGACAGTTCAGATTATTTTCAGCCTTTGTATCTTCTTTAAATGAAAGTAACTTACAAGAATCCTATATATTCTGCATTAACAGCTATAATAACTTGGAAAATAACTCCTCAAGACAGCAAAAAGTAAATCTACTGGCTGGGGGCCAGAAGGCAACTGGGACTTACTGAGGATTCCTAATAGTATATGGAGTTTCAGTTCACATTCTCATTTTTATTTAATTCCTTTAGCACTGTCATGGTCATTATACCTAGGCCTTAAATATGATGCAAATATAATGCCACTTTACATGGCTAGTGGTGTAAAGGGACATTACTGTAAAGAAAAATCCAGTCCTTTTACTTTTAGCATGCATTGCAATATCTCTAGTCTAGTATGCGTGACAGTTATAGACCATTTCCATTCATTGTTCTGAGCCCAACTTGCAGTTTCCGTATCACAAAAATTCATTCTAGCCATGATAGCACTAAGTTCAAATTAAATATGTATTTTGGCGTATTCTGGTACTACTGCAAAGGTTTTGTCATTGTATCAGTTCCATAGCAATCTGTGAATTAGGTTAATTAAAACAGCATCATTTAAGAGTTCTTTCAATTTAGATAACAAAGCCAAATCCAGAAACTAAGATTTTTCACCTCTTTTTTTTTTTTGCTTTAATGTCATTTGACCATATCATCATTCAGAGCCAATGTACATTAGAACTTCACCCCAAGACACCTACTGTAATATCCTAACTGGAGTTGCAATCAAATACATGTCACCTTATGCCAATTTCCTGTAGTCTCCATTTCCTCCTATTACAAAATGCACAGTTTGACATGATTTTCTTTCTCTTCAAAAGAAGCTAAGGTTTGAAAAACAAAACTGCTATAAGCCAACATAGAAAGTTTTGGTAGAGGTATGTGGGGATCTTTTCCACAATACTTGGCTTATCTTATTTTCCATCCTTTGCATGAGAAAGAGAGAGAGAAACTTGGTAATAAGTGTACTCTTCCTTTCCTGCCCCTGGGCCCATGCTATCCCTCTAACTCGGTTCAGTTCCCTTCACTGACATTTCCTCAATTTAGACCCGCTCCTTTAGCTGACTAAACAGCATACCATTCAGTGGAACATTTTCAAATCGAATTTTGGTTACAGACATTTGAACAGAAAATAAACAGAAAAAAACCCAGTGTTGATAAAAGGAGTATAGTATAATAGGCTATCGGTGGGATTGAGAGTCCTGATTCACTGGAGATCCGGTTGCATTTAACTGCTGTTTCAGTACTGACTCCCTCTTCGTCACTTAACCCAAATTTTACTATCCATTTTGAGCAATCACTGACACATCTAATATCAAAACAGAAGTAAATCTGAGAGCGTGAAAAAAAATACCTTACTGCTCTTACTATCTATACCAGATATGTCAAATTCACTTTACCCCCTCACAGGCTTGATCCAGATGCAACAGCAGGGCAAACAACAGTGGCAATATGGGAATTAATGTGGCTGTTGCTGGCCCCCCACCGCCAACATGCATTCCCAGCAGGGCTCCAGGCAATAGATTTTGGTAGTGAGCCCTGCCCCCAAATTCCTGCCCCCTCCCCTTCCCCACCCCGGCAAGTCTCAAGGGCCAGATGACACGACTGGGCTGGAGCTGGCCCCTGGACCATAATTTTTACATACCTGATCAGGCATAAGGCCATGCTTGTTCATTTTCATATGTATTTGACACATTTTATTTATCTAATTTAGAGCTATATACTGAAGCTTTTATTGTTTAATAAGTTCTTAGGCAAGATTTTATTAAAATCAGTAGATTGAGTTGGGGACAGTAGATTTAGTCATTCAGAATGTAAGCTCTTGGATATTGGGACAATATTTTCTATATATTATATAAGATGGAATATGCAATAGTGTTTATTAAAAGTAAGAAAAATTGTCACCTGATAAAATTAAACATAAGTAGAAATTGGGTTCTAATACACACAATTCAGCTGAACTTTGGAGTAACAATGGATGGTATAGATGCTAAAGCAAACATTGTAATACAGTGGCTTCATCACATTTGAAGATAAATACATTAATAGCATATTTGAATAATTTTTCCAATTTCCTCTGGTACAGTGGTAACTTCTGATATTGGAGATGGACACAGTGAGGTTTAGTGAGTAAATAGGCAGATGGATATTTATTGGCCTACAAAAATACTATGATATCAGTATAAGAAACAGAATTGGTAAAAGTATATCAGATCAGTGTAGAATCTAATGTAAATGCAGCAGGCTGCTCATGTGTTAATCTGCACAGGAAGCATATAATGCTAGTTCTCCATAACTTGCAAAAGATTGTACATTGACTTCCAGGTGTAGTACCAGGTTTTAACTTGGTTCCATGTAACTTAAGATGATTTGGGCTCTGTGTAACCAAAAAAACTGCCTCTGTTTCACAAGTCATTATGACAGGGTATGCCTACAGAAAGACACATTTAAAAATCTTTAGATTTGGGGCATAAAGTTCTGGAAATCGGTTCATAAGTTATCCAATAGAGTATTCCTCCAATGTTGAATACCCTTTTCCTGCCATTCTAATACAGTTAAAGTCATGTGATCCATCTCATCTCTTATGTGTTTGAGGGGGGTGGGTGTGAACAAGGGGAAAATTGTTCTTCAGGCATGCCCTTTTTAAGTGGTAAAGGTTCATCATTACATTTTAGAACATCAGCCCTGAGAAGTATTAAATAAGTACGTTTTATAACCCAAAATATTTTTGCTATTTTGATTGATTTTACAATGACGCCTATTTTTAAATTATACTAATACTTAGTTATATAAAGTTGCACACATTTACAGGTTGCAAGGATGTTCCAAGTGAAAATAAGTACATATCAGTCTTATATTAGAATGCAAGAATATTAGAATGTATTCTGATAATATTTGCTTGTTAATAGACGGAGGAAAAATAAATACTGTGTTTTTATCAACAGTGCTCAGAGGGAAGAGTGGGTTGGTAATGAAGTGTTGAATTCAAAGTTATAAGCCTGACCCTGGCTCATACTGTTAGTAACCAAAACCTATCCACTAATAGCTGTTTAATCTCTGTCTCTTCACTAATCAATAAAACAGAATTAAAATTGTTCTGACCTACTAAAATGCCTTTTTTTTGTTAGCATCAACCTTGCCGAGTATACATTATTGGTGCTTATGTGGTTTAATGATCCCAGTGAAATATCCTGGTGCTGTGTGGACACAGCTTATAACAGCAAAAGCTGGTAAAGCTTATTTTAGTCTACCAAAATTGAAATAACCTATACCAGCAAAGACATAACTTTGCTGTTATGACTGTGTCTGTAATAGGGGGATTTTGCTGGCCAAGCTATGTCAGTCAGGGATTATACCTTACCACATCTCTGACCAACACACTTGTGGCAGTCAGAGTGTAATGTAGGCCTAGCCCACATTTCCCATGAGTATTTTCCTCCTTTAGAGTACTATATAATGGAACACTGTACATAAAATAAAAGCTGTTGACTATTATAAATCCCTGTGTTACTGAATCTTTCAGCTAGATGTTGAAATATAGTATAGGCAAATAGTGTTTTTGAGTATTTAGTGTAGTGGATTCCAGAGATTTGTTACAAATTCTGTGATGACTGGCTGTGTGGCATTGGTCACATCGTATAATTTCCCCGTAAAATGAATCAAAATGGTTGGCTGGTCTGTTAAATGGATGAAATAATACTTTCCTACCTCAGATAATCAATAAATGTTTGTGATCTCTTTAGGTGAAGTATATCACTCTAGTAGTGCAAAGTATTTTCATGATCATATTAGGCTATTGTTTTTAAATGTATTCAGTTACTGCATTTATCTTGCAAAAGATGAAGAACAATACATGTTCACAAATTATTTTCTAATTTGTCACTTCTACAGAGTATGACAGGGGAGTGGCACCCACCCAAAGAGAACAGTGGAAACAAACCTCCACGTAATAATAACATACTGGGTTATGTGGTTCGTAGATTGATGGCCATTGTCTACCCTCCAAAAGCAGAACCCCCACCACCTGTATTTCCTTCATTTCGTATCAAGGGATGTATTTTGGGAAAACTTTTTAGTGGAAAAACCACCTGTGCAAAGTTCTTGGAAGAAGGTAGAGGGTCTTTTTCTCTAGAACTTGTTTGCTGAGTGTCCTCTCTTAAGCTAGCTCTTTGTGGACAGTCCCCTGCACCAATGCAGACCTCATTACAAGACTGGAAACTGAAATGCATTAGTATGTGGCTGGAACTGACTCTTCATAATTTATTTACTGTCCCATCCCCAAGTAAAAATGATAAAGTTCCTGAATGTCAAAGTCCACTGTTAATGATTATCCCTCATCGCTTTACTTCAGAATGTATTGGGAGTTTAGGAAATGTTTTCATAGAATTTTCTGTTTGTGATATTTATAAAAAAGGTAGAAGGCCAGGTAGATATGCACCTTTATAGACTGACTAAGACATATAATGCACAACCTTTTGTGAACCCAAGTTCACTTAATCAGATGCTGCCAAAAAACTGCACAGTTACTAACATGCATTATACAGTCACTACAGAGACATATCAATGGAAACAAATTCCAACAGAAAGATGTTTGCAGTGCATCTTGTCAGCATTAATTATACTTATTATCTTTATCTGTGCATTCTGCCCTATGTACATCTATCACAATAATATTTTCTTTGTATTAGGTTGCAACATTCAGATATTGTCTATTGATACTCTGGTTGAGGAAACCATCAAAACTTTCCATGAAAATGAAATTAAAATTGAAACCAACTTGATTCCACAGGAAGCTGAAGTTTCTGTAAAACAAAATGAAGTAAGTGCACTTCATCATAGCCTGTAAGATTTTTGTTCTTAATTTTCATAGGGAACAGCAAGATGAAATAGGGTAGAAGAAAAATGAATAACCTATGTTTTTTCATCTTGAAATAACCCACAGAAAACTGGAAGGCAGTTTTGATTAGTGATTTTTTCCCCCCCTCATAAATAGCTTTGTGTAGACTTTTTTCTTAATCTATTTGTTAAAATTATAAACACAAAAATATATGCTGTGTTAAAAGCTCTTGTAATCCATACTGGAAGATGTTATAGGTAAATATGTAGATATAATTCAGATGCAGTGACATAAGCTACAGTTCTGTAGTCTCTCTTATTATTACCTTTTATATAAGTGAAACATTTTCTTCATTCTAGTCTTAAATCTTAAACAAGTACAGTAAAAGCCCTGTTATCTGGCATTTTACTAACCAGAATACTCTATTAACTGGAATTCCAGCTGGTTAGCCGGACACGGGGGAGAGTGGGGAGGAAGCTTGCATGTGGCAGCGGCTGCTATCACCCTGTGCTGCCGCCACTCTGCATCCAGCTGAAATGTCCACCCTATGCTGCTGCTGCTACCTTTTTTAACATATTGTAGTGTAGGGGTTTTCAAGCTTTTTTAATCCCCCTTTTTTTTACCCCTTGTGGTGGTGGCTGGACGTGAAGCGGGGGGAGAGGGCTGCCATCCACCATCCCACACCGCTGCTGCCACCCACTGCACCGCCGCCCACCACCATCCCACTTTCCCACAGCCAGTCGAACATGAGACTCTGTGGGCTACTGACAGG